CGAGGTATTTAGGGAAAACTGCCCCGGAAAAATGAAACGTCATCATCGACTCGGCGCGACCACGTGTCTCGATTACAAAAGAGACAAGGAAAACAGTGGGGAACGCGCGCTGTGCGAACATATCGCGCCGCGGGATGTTCTTTCCCGACAAGTGAGAAAAAACATGCGCCGTGGCTTTTAGTTGAATAAACATCGAGCGGATATCGCATAATCTATGCACGCGTGACGTATCTTTCCAGGGAATCGATATCAGTTAAACTGGCACGATCTCTACATCACATTCTTGCATGTGTCTACTTTGACTAAAAAAATTTCCTTTTATTGAGCATAAACAATACACACAATAACATCGCGTCACATAAATCAGCGAGATTCGATAAAAGTTTGAGGAATATGGTTTGCAAATTATAATTATCCGCAGCTTCGAATAAAGGGTCGTGTCTTATAACACGGTATAATCGCGACGGATTAAAATCGCAGAAAAAAGACGTCGACGGTATATATAAGGAAGGCTCTAGGCGTCCCTCGCGTATCTATATATACGGCACGTCCCGTTTGACGGCCATTTAAAGAATAACCGGGCATTAGAAGTCGTCCCAATCGTCTTATTTCATCGACTTGGGCCGCGATTATGGCGATAACCATCTAACTAGTGTTTTTCGGACTCACCATCGCCTAGCTCTGCCATCACCACCACCACCACCATCACACCGTAGCGGACAGCAAACACGATCCGTTTGATTCGACTATCATCCCTTTCTGCCGTCTCACCCTCGTCGCTCCTTCGCCTCGCCCATGGCCTTTCCGTGCCGCTTATTTTCTGCAAGAAAGCAATATCCGTTATAGCCAATAAACGTAACCGTACCGAAGTAACTGATGATCGTTCGAATGCTCACCGAGAATCGTGCCCCTTTTAAAGAAACGATATCGCCCGCGTTCGCGAAATTAATGAGAAAATTTAATTGTGCGCGTAAATCGCGATGTATATGACATTCCTGGTTTTTAAATGAAATAACATAACCACAAAAAGTCGAATCTCTTGATTTTATTATTATTGTTCACGGAAAAAAAGAATTTGCATAGCAAATTTTACGCTGTCGTAGCAAAATATGCTAGTTATTATGTGGATAGCATGGCAAAGAGAGATTTGCTATGGATACTAATTTTGTTTGCTGAAAATAATGTTGCTAAATCTGCAAATTATATCGCTATTATAACAAATTGGTTTTGATTTTGTCATCAAAATTTGTATTAGCAACGACAATTTCGCTACATTAGCAAAATGCATTTGTTAGAAGTAAATTATTTTGTTGCGGCAGTAAATTAATGTGTCTTTACGAACAAATGTATTCGACAAAATTTATCTATTCTGCCAACAAAACATTCGCTGTCACATCTAATACGCGATAACAACAATTTCGCTACGACGGCAAAATTCTCTCTTTCCGTGCACGGTTTGTTTAAAAAAATATTAAAAATTGTTTTTAGAATATCTGAAACGTTTAATTTGTAATCCGCAGTATTTAAGATAGCTAATAGTTGAATAGTCAGCTTTTACAGCTTCTGATTATTTTTTTAATAGACTCGCGCGTGTCGCTTTACAGTTTCGAAGACGGAGAAAAAAAAGAAGGGCTCTTTCGGCAAGATTTGCGAAGGTGTAGACTCGCGCCAATAATGCTCTTGCCCTTCTCTCCGAGGGTTGGCACCCTCGCGCGCATCGTGTTTTACCCCAGCCACACGTATCGGCCGCACTCTCGGCGCTCCTCCTAGTCTCTCCCGCGACGGAGCACATAATCCTGATATCTGTCGGTTTTCGGGCAATAAAACACGCGTCCCATACTGACGCGGCCCCTGAGAATCGCTACTGCTTCCGGCTGATAAAAAGACGCGCGGCGAGATACCCTCGCGCGGTCGATGTCATCGGCTTTCGGCATTTTCCGCAGATCAGCAGTTAGACATCGAATAACATGGAACGTGAAGGGAAAATTCTTGCAATTTTCGAAGACTCGCGAAATCCTGAGAAATATACCCGCGACTTGCAAACATTTCCGATTAAAATTGAGAGATAAGCGTTATTACAGAAAATACAGTAATTTCAAAGTGCACCGTTCTTTAGATCGTTTAGATCGTTATCGGCGCGTCTATCATTGAAAATTACGCTTATCGTGATTACGACTGTCCGACACCTCGCCGATCGAGGCGTCGAGTCGTCGCGCTAATGCTTTCGCACGCTGTAAAATGCCCGGAATAAATCTATGATGCTACACGGGCGAGCTCGATCTTTATTTCGCGGCATTACAGTATCGAGTCGCCGGCGCGCGAGCAGTGCGCTATTCAAAATTATTGACCGTCTTGGAAACAGTCTACCTAAGGCCGTGCGAGACCTCCCTCCTCGGTCCGTGAGTACTTATCGGGCGGATCGGAGCGCTCAAAAGATCCGCTCGGTGGCCGCGAGGCAAAACGCCCGGCTATTCGGCTATTACGTTTCTGCATACGGGAGAGAACCCGGTAACCAGATCGGAGAGTCTCGAATGACCCGCGCGCTCACCCGGGGAGTAAATATTTTCATATTACTTTACCCGTGTAATTCAAGCGTCGCAAATCCGCGCGAGTCGCTAAGTTTCGCCTCGGCTTCCTCGAAGATTCTCAAGCCTCGCAAAGTCGGGACTGTATTTACATCCGTTTTCCGCCACGATAACGATTCCCGATAGCTTTTGATTACGAACGCATCGCATCTGCAATTCTCCCACTCACTTTATCTCTTTTCTCTCTCTCTTTCGACGCTCTCAACTTGAAACGTTATAAACGCGGCAAACAAAATCGCAGCGCGCGCCGTTAAGCGGACGAAGCCCGCGGATAAAGTACACGGCGGATGTTAATAGGATAAATTAGTTTATCCTACGAAAACAACCCGGCGAGATGAAACAGAACCGCCACGCCTCTCTGCACCGCGCGCGATACATTCGGCCGCGGGCGTTGCCGACTCCATTCAAGACGCGGCGGATTTTCCTTGCGAGTATTGCCACCACTACCCTTCGCGGCTCGGATGGATCGGATAAAAGAATAATACGCGAAAGCGAAAAAGCTTTCGACTTTACGACGGTTTATACTACGCGGAAAAGGGACCCGGCCTCGAGAAAATGGAAGGGAAGAGCGGATAAGACGGCTGACCCTCTCGGGATGTTTCCACTCGCAAACTGGATTCCGATGACCGATCTCCATTTCCATATGGGTCGCGGAGACGCGGAGGGTCGGCGAGAGAGCCGCCGGGAAGTTGTCGCCGAGAAATTGATATTTGAACGAGCCACCCGTACCACACGATCGAGACCGAAGGGCGAGTGAAGAACTTCGCACGCGTTGTAACGCGCGCGCCTGAATTTCGGCTTCACGATTGATCAATCGTCGCACACACACACACACACACACACACGTGTCTTTCCTTCTTTTCCCCAACGTTGCAACTTCGTACTGTCGACTTTGGCATTTTATCTGCTTCGCTGAAATCGACGGCGGCGGCGGGAGACGGCGGAGCACGCGTTGTAATTTTTCTTCCGAGCGAGGCCTTCCGAAATTAGCATTCGCACAGGATGCACGGTCTAACTACTACTATCGACGTTGCCTCTAACTATAATCGTCCGAGTGGGTACGGGCTAAGTGTAATATTATTCAGCACACAGCTTCGTATGGATATCGAGAACCGTAGAGCACAGATGCCGTCCGTCGGAGAAGCGACGAAAGAGTGAAGGAGAGAGGGAGAGAGAGAGAGAGAACGAGAGAGCGCGCGGGTTGCTAGAGCGACCGCGGCTTCTCTAGTAGATGCCGAAGAACGATCCCTCCCGTCACGGATAACGGGTGTTTCGGTTGGTTTTGGGCCCTCGAGAACGCGTCCCGTGGAAATTACGAGCTCGTCCAGACGGCAGGCAGATCCGTCCGCCTTCATGAATCGTAATCACCGCGTTTACCGCGCGGCGCACGTTACACGCGTCTTATCCCTTTTACGCGAACCGAACCCCACCCGAGCCGGCAACAACTCGTAACAGTCGTGTCGTCCGACGTCGTTTGCGCTTGCAGCACGATTAATTTATCCGCAAAATGCGGACAATTAACCGCAGCAACTGCGCAGATGGCCGAGAGGTATGTCACCGAGACGGAAAAACTCGCGCCGCGCGACGATTAACACCGATATCACTCGCTGCGGGGCGAAGCGTTTAGAGAGAAATGCGCGGGAAAGTAATTATAAAATTGCGATTTATCGCGCGCGAGAGGCGAGTTTGAGATATCGCTGTACGGAAAAAAAAAATGAAATAAAAATAAAAATAACGCCGGTCGGAGTCGCCTGGTATTACCGTGAACGGGAATGAGAACGGTGATCGTTTAACGAACCCGAAGGCGAGCTATTATTAATTTTTCCGGAGTGGAAGCCGGTCATTCCTGGCGCAGCCCGCGGGCCACGAAGGAGAGCGAGTGCTGCAGGTGGCGAGAATGGTCAATATAACCGCAAAATGTAAATCATATTGCTATTCCCCGAGGGTCTCTCACTCTCTCTCCCCCCTCCCTCCCCTCTCCCTCCCTCTCTCTCACGGCCCCGTGTATTAAGCACAGTCCGGGTAAGACGCCCTGACTCTATATTAGTTTCCACGGGTTTCCTGATTGGATTCGGCTATTACGTTTCCTGGACCCCGCATTGATTGTTTGCGCCCGGCGGACGCAGATCCCGACGCATTATCCGCGATCGACCGTAACGGTACTCCTCTCTCAGACTCCGTCCTCCGGGAATGACAGAATGTAAGACGTTTCACAAAATCTCTCTCGCAGCAGTTTCTTTCTGTTGAAATTATAAACTTTGGAGGTAGGAATTCGCATCTGCGAAAACGAGTGTGTTATCGAGTCGATCGGTCGATATAACTTGGAAGTTACTCGAAGGAATCCGCGCGGATATCACGGAAAAAATCAGCCGATGCTTTCATCGCCGGGGTTAAGTAGCCCTTGGTACCGCGCGCGCACGCTCTCTCTCTCTCTCT